ACAAAACAAACGATAATTTGCACTCTCAGCTATCAACAGAGAGGCTGTTTTATTTTAAAAAAGTTACAACTAACTCAGTGACGGTACCAAAGTGACTGTAAAAATATGGTTATGATTCAACATGCCATTTTTCGATTGAAACAAATTATCAGAAGTATTTTTAGTAGTTGATATTCATTAATTCAGGTAATAACTAGCAAACTTGTCTCTGTATGAATAACTGAAATCAACGTGTCAGCACCCCCTACTTCTCAACCCAGTTTTCCAAGTTTGCTGAAATAATGAAAAAGATAATGGAATATATTACGGAGATTTTATAGCTTGAGACAGTGACCGATATGGAAAAACTTCGGAGATGCACAGAAATGAATACTCAGCATTCCTTCGAATTCGTACCCGACCTTAATTCGTAAAACGGTTTCTGCTTTTTCCCTTCTATCATAAAAGTTTGTGCATATTTATCATCGGCGATTTTCTCTTTCGATCACATAACTTTTGGAAATCGAAATTGAGCCCATTCAACGTGTGAATGAAGACTTTTTTTTCAATACTGTTTTGTGAGGCAGTTTGATCTTTCTCTTGAAGATGATCACTTGGTGATCGAAACACGTGCGAGGTGTTGAAATAGCGGTTTGGTGTTGGGAAAAAAATCCAATAATATACAACATCTGTTGAGGTGTAATGACACGCATTGAATCGACCATAACAGAAAATTCACAAACAAACATGTGATTGAAAACATAAAACACATCCCAAAAAGTCCTACTCCAAAGGTAACATACATTACCAGGCAATTTTTTTAATGACATTTTTTTCGGCATTTACTTCAATCAATTAAAAAAAGTAGGTAGTAGTCTAGTTGACTAGTAACATTTTGCAAAATTTGATTTCACCTTAACAGAAATCGATTTCGTTTCAGTTTTATTGCTACACCCTGTATACACACTGAACATTCATCAACAGGACTACTGACCACAGCATATTTGTAATTACATAATTTTATGCAGAAGCATTTCATCACATATGCTCCTATACAAACAGTCGTTATTCAACACTGACCTAGAAATAAAATTCTGTGAAGTTTCCGCTGAAACGATCATGAAAAATGCATTCACGGGTAATTTTTGAAGCATACAACTACAATTGGTACTGAATATTCACCACAATGTGAGTGAGTTTGGTTCACTTCATACAATTTCCAGGAAAAATACCCATTCGTTAAAATTTGTAGAGAAATTCTTTTGAACTCATTCACATTGAGAATACCTGGTTTGAATATATCACATATTTTTCACATTGTAATAGTTAGATGAGAAACACTGAAACAAGCAATGACAATTGATGTTGATTCCAAATTATAATCCGAAGTAATGGGTGAAGACAAACAATATAGTTTACAAATGTGGAATATTGGTTTCAGTTTAATATTCTGGCGAAGGACATCATTTAACATTTTGGCGAAGGGTGGGGTTTGAAATTTTGGAGCCAGTCTAATTTTGAAATTTTGGCGAAAGATAATGTTATGTTTGTAGTCTGGCGAAGGAGCTAGAACGTATTCTCTCTGTAGGATCCTTTTCATACCACCAGGAAAAACTTTCTTCACGAAGAAAGTTTGTAAAACCAAACAAAAATAAGCTCGTTTCCCAATCACCAGAAACTCTTCTCAGGGCGTTTCACCAATCATGTTACCGTTTTCAGTACATGAAGTTTTTCTTATGCTTGGTTTTGGATTTATTCTACAGAGGTTCCTGTTTTACCTTCAATTATGTAAACTCTTTCAATATGTTGTTTTGTTTCATCTACGTCTCAAGTACAGAACTAAGTTGAACGCTCTTGTTCTTTGAAAATAATACTACTACTTTGTATTGAGGTTCATTGAAAATTTTGACATTTTCGGCTTCTTACATTGTGAGAATATATTCTTATCATTATTGGAAATTTTATTGATTTTTTTATTGCAACAAGTGAATGTAGAAATGTCAAATTATATTCAATATATCTAATATACAAAGTATATTTGGTTCACTAACAAATAATTGTCAAGTCAATTGATCAAGTCAGTCGCTATATACAAGATCAAAGTCTTAGCTGAAATGTTGAATCTCTTCAATGAAAAATGAAAAATGAAAAATATGAAATAAAAAAATATCCATTGTGAAGACAGAAATGTCATTTTCCTGGTATAGTCTATCCATTCCCAATTGGAACGGCAATATAAATAAGAGCACTACGAGGGGTGTTCATAATCACTGCCCGGCAAATGGGAAATGTATATAAATGGGAAATTTTTATGTCACTGAATTATCATACCGCCCAAAGTTAATAATTACAGGAAACGAATTCGGTTTATTTACGCCAATCGCCTTTCCAAAAGGTTGAGCTTTATGAAAATTATTTTGGTAACGTTAATTGAACATGATTTTCACACAGTCACTAACGTTGGTTTAAGTAACATCGGTTGTTAGAAACATTTTTTTGTTCGTTGAAATCGGTTCATCAGGTCTAATGTTCTGGCCTAAGACACAAAGACATAAATCACATAAAAACCTGATGCTAACTACATGGTTTGTCCTATACAAACTCTAACAATTCAAATGAGAGATGTGTATTATTTTTAGGGCACGATTGATTTTACTTTCGTAATCAGAACCAAAAACATAAGTTTATCGTCGTAAATTATTTTCTATTGATTATTACCAGAATATCTCACAATAAGATTCATTCGAAGAATACCACGAATTGAAGTAATTAAGTTGAATCACATAACAAAAAGTAACCTGAAACGAATGATAACTCTCTAAAGTCGAAACTTGTGCGAGCTAAAGACTAACGAGGTCTTGCCTTTTAACATGTGATTTCTAACACGAGTTGGACGATAGGAAGTGAAAATCGATCGTCCGGCCATGCGGTTCGTACCACCGGTTCGCACAGCGGTCAGATTCACTGACTGGAGCTGACCACACATGCCAACACACCAGGCTACCGTCCCACAAAAAAGCATCCATTCTACTTTCAATGATTTTATTGGATTTCAAAAAGTTTGTAAATTGATAAAAAAATATAAAAAATGGTCGGAGGAATTACACATTGAAAGGTAAGACCTCGTTAGTCGTTAGCTTGCACAGGTTTCGACTTTTGAAAATTGTCGTTCGTAGGGGGGTACAGCTGGTTAACGGAAAAACAAATTTTAACAGTTTTTTTTAACAGATATGACTCGACCTGAGATTGAACCCATGACCCTTGGCACTCTAGCTCAGAATTCTTAGCACTACCTCAAGCTGCAACTGACAAGTTATTGTAACATGAAGCTACGGGAGAAGGAAATATTAAGAGCAGATTGTTGTTGGTTCACAGATGGATCAAAAACGCCTTCAGGATCTGGTGCAGGTGTTATCAGTCGCAGACCCAGGACAGAGATATCAACCTGCCTGGGAACCTATGTGACTGTTTTTCAAGCGGAAATTTACGCTTTTGAATTGTGTGCGGAGAGATTGGAAGAATCCAACCTCATACACAAGTCAATAAAAATATTCTCGGACAGTCAAGCGGCGTTGAAAGCTCTTGGCTCTTACTGAGCAACGTCTGAATTGGTAGCAAATTGCCAAAAACGACTCTCCTCGATATAAAGATTAAACAGATTGTCTTTGGTCTGGATTCCTGGCCATACTAGCCTGGAAGGCAATGAGGCTGCTGACTCACTTGCAAAGGAGGGTACTGCAAGCAGCTTCATTGGACCAGAACCTGTCATTGGCATCGCTTTGGGCTCTGCAAACAAATATTGAACAACTGGATGGCAAGAAGATTTATGGACGTGTTTTGCTTAATATAATTGTTATATTCAGCTATTCATTTTGATTTCATTTGTTCTTTCGCGGATTTAGACAATGAAAGTCCGAACTAATGAAATTCACCATGGAACATTGTCAACCACCTTCAAATAAACGTTTCTCCACAAAGTTCTTCATCTTCAATTTATCCAACTAATAAACTGAAATTATCATTTGGCTCACTAAACATCCATACATAAACTCAGATATATGAATTATTCATCATGAAAATTCTCAAGTTGCAACTAGTGAATATGAAATGAATGAAAATAATTCCTGGAAATATAGATTTGCAGCTGTCTACTATCCTGAAATTTGTCTCCAGAATCAACGTGGTTATTTAAATAGCAACATGACTTCACGGACTATTAGATAAAGCCTCCATCGAAACAACCTACGACAGAAATACAAACATATTTTCACTCCAGATTGAAATTGAAATACCACAACCTCCTTACTTCTGAACTATCAACCCGGAGCAAACTACATTGTCGGCATAATTAGACCAACACATCATACTCAAACAAACAACCGAACTGTAAATATGTCACAAGCAGCAGAAGTAAACAAACCAAAATTGCCGAAATACCAGTGTGCATGAACCTCATTTTCGGCTACATTCCGGAAGAGAACGTTACCCGGAATATTTACACATTAACTAGTGTAGCCAGATGATATATTCTGGAGCCTCTAGACAATGATCAGAAATCCATAGAATTGTTTAAATCGAAAAATGTTTTGGTAGATAGAATTTGAACCACTGGCGAAAAATGAATTTGTTTCAACTGCCGCAATAGATTTTCAATTATTGTAACACACTTGCAAACCGGTTTCGGGCTGTTTTGCCACTTTCATCAACATAAAGTCGATGAATTCCGACAATTGAAAATCGAATTCGTTCAGAGTATCATTCCTCGAACTAGGCTGAAGCGGACAACAAACAACAGGTTTGTCATCGTCTCATCTGCCGATGAACGAGGTAACCAACCGCATATCCGAAATTTGCTTAATTTCTCGTATAAGGATAGAAAACGTTTCACATATATCTAGTCAGGTTATATAACAGTTTCTTTATTTAAATATGATTTAATAAGGTAGACATTTTGGTAATAAAATATTATATAGTTTGGAGCCCAGGATAACTTTTTGTCATGCGATCAAAAAATCATTATTTCTCTGATTTAAAATTAAATTCCTCAAACTGAAGAAATGTCTGCATCCGGCAATGATGTCCCGAACATTTTCATACTAACCTTAATCTTCTTAGCGTCATTGTTCTGCAAGATGAAAGCCGCCACGGCCATATCGAATTCGTTCTTGTAGATGACAGCCAGACTCGGCGTTTCTCTGTTCAATTCGGACACCACCAGGCGGTCGACGAGATACGGTTGCCGTATCACGCGCATGGTGGCGCCACCTTTCTTCGTCGACGGTTTGCACACCAGCAGCATGTCCGTCAAAAGGAAACAATGCACCTCCATCTAGAACAGAAGGCAAAGTGGAGAGAATTAATAATTAGTGAAAAAATCGAGGAGAGAAATAGTGGCAGTCGAAGTTAGTGTATGAAGAAGAAATTGTTACTAACTGGAATACGGAAGGTCTGTCATAGACATGAATGGAAAATGTGGTGATTGGTATGAGGTGATTTTTCATCGAGATATATGTGATAAGCACAACGTATATATTTCTCTCATTGTGTCTTTGAGATTCACTACTACTAGGTAGAAAGCCATTATACGAAGGAAGGAAAAAAATGCATATTTTCAATAAAAACTCTTTGAAGAAGTGTAGATCACACACAAATAATAGACTGTCAACGTGACGAGAGAAGAATTATATCTTCCAAAGTTGTCATGTTATGATAAAAATGAGTAAGTACTTTGTTTTGCAAAGTTATTCAAATTGATGCTGATGAAGAAGTGAAAACAAGTTTCTTCGCCAAAAACATTGAAATTCACCCATATTTTGAATGTTTTATATGTGGGTAAAGTTTTCATATTGATGCTTATCATACATTAAGTTGTGTAGCATAACTGTGAATTGAATGTTTTTTTGATGCGATAATGAGTATTCGATGTACTAACTGAATGGGAAAAAGTGTAATTCAGTGTTCATATCCTTGAAAGTAGTTGTTTTGGTTGAGTTTTTTTCACACTTTATAGCTGAAATAAATTTCGCATGATCTGCACATTTTCTCTTCCTTTCTTCGAACGATTACGATATTCATTGTATAACGACAAAGAAGTAGAAAGCCAAGTATTACCGCAATCATATAATAATAGTCAGAATTTTCCAATTCATTGAACAAATTCAGTTTTTCTTTGATTCGTTACTTCTTTTAGCTGCTTTATCCGGAATAGTCCTTTCAAAGTTTGTCATACATAAAACACGTTTGAGCGGGCTACTTATTTTTCTTTTATCGATAGAAAACATAGAATTTATATTTATAAATGCGAAAGTCACTCACTTAACACTCACTCATTCATATCTATTTCTGCGTACTGGTGAGTCCTAGGAAGCTAAAATTTGGTATATGTATAGGTGCTTCTTAGGTCTTAGATGCGCACTAAGAGAGGATTACCTAATTTTCAAACTGGGACGCCCTTCCATGGGGATGAGATTCGTTTCATGTTGTAAGTGTTTCTCCATGCCTTTTCCGGTGGGTAAATTTATATCACCATTGCACCCATGCGGAGCCGTAGCGGGTATCTGTATCTGTAAAGTAGAGAGGGTGAGCGTAGGACCACAGCACTTAGGCCACATGTGACCCATTGTACATCCTCTCAAGGAGTTGTCCTCCTAGGTCATCATCCATCCTGTCGTTTTCAAGACATCTTCTTTATATCGGCAGGTGTAGGCCAAGATTCGCCGAACACACACTCTCTTATTGACGATAACTCTGGACACTCGCATAGGATATATAAGTCAGTTTCATCTTTCTGTTCACACATCCAGCATAGAGGTGTGTTCACTAGCCCCAAATAATGGGTGTGTTCCCTTAATTGACTGTGGTCAGTCAGAAATCCTACTATTAAGAGAAGGTTTTTTCTGATCATCGCCAGATATTCCTTCGGCGCCAGCTTCCCAGGGTCACCCAAGGTATTCCCGGCAAGATTGAATCCTTTGATTCCATCCCATCCCTTTAGGGATTGAACATGGGTGTGACGTTCGGCTAATTTCGCAATTGTCGAAATAATCAGGCCGTAGGTATTACTGGATCCTAAAATTCTTAGTCCAGCCGCTTCCTTGGCTAAAGAGTCGGCAATTCGAATACCTTTACTCCTGTCGTGCCCTTTAACCCACCTCAGGATAATGTTATTATCTACACCGAGGCTTTGGCTGAATCTTGGTGGCACTCTATTACTAGCCCTGAGGTAACATGTTGTCTGTTCAAGGCTAATGGGACTTGTTTACTATCAGTGTAGATTGTTATGTTTTTGCCAGAAATTCCTTTCCTGGTTATTTTTTTTTGAGGCGATTGAGATACCAGCCAGTTCTGTTGTAGTACCAAGGTATTTCACCAGTTCAGAGAAGTTTGCTTTTGCAGATTTCGGAAGGTTTTAAGCCTGATAAACTTCTTTTCCTGGTGAAAAGGACCATCTCTGTCTTCTTGGGATTAGTCGACAGTGAGTGTCCCTTACACCATGTTTCTATTAATTTCAACCCATCCTGCGCTCTATCGCACAGTGTGTTCACAAATTTGCCGTAGCGGATAGCTTTTATATGATAATAATGATGATGGTAATGATATTAATAATGATGATAATAATAAAAATAATTCACAAAACTAGGAATATTACGAGTATATAAGTATATACTACATTAAAATATAACCCAGTAAAATACATAAAATACGACAGAGTGTTTATGAAAAAAAATGTAAAAAAAATGTAAAATTTATTTATTTCCTGTTGACAAATATACATTGTGTAGGAGCCGTCAGTGATAAAATCTTAGGTACTACTTACAAACTAATGGGACATGTACTCTTCAATAGTATAAAAACTATGAGAACATAAAAAATATTTCAAGGGATATTTGAATTCGGCTTGAGACCTGCTCTCCTTTATATTCATTGGCGAATGGTTGAATAATCGGGGAGCCATCAGGTTTGGTGAGTTATAAGCCAGCTTTGTTCTGACATATGGTACAAACAAATTATTATTTTGACGAGTATTCACATTGCGGATACATCTATTCATCAGAAAGATTTCATTGTCATTTTTAAAAACATGTAAACACAGTTCAAATATAAACAAACAAGGCAATGTTAGAATATTAAAATCAACGAACACATTTTTGTAGCAATCCCTAGTTGACAATCCTGTTATAGTTCTCAGTATTCTTTTTTGCACTAGGAATACCTCATTCCAACGTAATGTATTATACTATGTTACATTTCATTCTATTGTCTGAACATTTAAAATTTTTTATGTGATTCATTACTCAAAACAAATGAATAACGTATAGAGTCAAAGTCTAGGTTTTTTCAAAAAGCTTTTTTTTTCTTGGTATCTCATTTTCAACTATTTCTCAGTTATCGCAGGGTAGGTACATATCTGAATAAATTGTTTATTGTAAAATTGAAAGTGATTTTTCCATTTTTCATCTTGAAAATCACACGAACTTCTTCTCAAGGTTACCAGTCACAAAACCACGAACATTTCTTGATTCCTTATTTCCATGTATAATTTATTCGGTCAACTTATATATAATCTTTCTAGCATGTTATCGAAACTGATGGGAATAATACATTCTAGCACTCCGATAAAAAACAAAATGCACACATCAGGTACGGTTTCGTTTCCGTAATCGAGAATATTGTTTATCATTCTCGGACTCACCCATTGGCGTACAGAAAGTTTACAAACGAATATCCTCCTCTCACAGGGTGAGAGATGCAGTTGGAACCATGTTGCGATTTTGCCGAAACGTCGTGATTGTATGAATGACGAACGGATGCGCACCCGGGATACCACTATCCGTAACAAACTGAGTTTGTAGCCATTGTGATCAACTGTTCTATCAATTTGTTTATAAATATTGAATACTGTTTTACATTTTTGTATTTTGTTCAACTTATAACTTGTTGAATGATGCAAATATAGTAATGGACCTTCCAAACAACTCTGTACGGTGGTAAAATATCTGCAGAATTGACAATCAAGTGTGATGAAATTGTTCTATATTTGATTAGGATTCATAACGTTTTCAAGTAATTGGTTTTTAATAGATTTTCACTGAATATTTTACAAAACGGCAACACACGTTTCGCTATACAATAGCGGTTGCGGTTTTCTAAACTGTTTACAGTCTCACTATAAAGTATCACTTGTCTTGATTGCTTTTTATCTTGATCAAAGCAGAGAATGATGTCGAAGATGAATTTCCGACAAAGATTTTGAAAAAAGGCCCATATGATGCTGACTTTACGGGTTACACTGTTTATCAGAGGTGGGTAGCAGAAGGATCAAACAATTCAGTACAAATCAGGACAGAGTTAGCAAGCGGTAGTGAAACAAGTGAATTTATATTATATTGAATGATTTCAGTTTGTACTTTTCAGTTATTGATCAAAGTTATTTATTGTACCGCAAGAAGAGTTGACAGCAATTCAAATACGGTTATTTTCATAAGTTCCTACTTTATTTCTTATTGCAACCGACAAAAATGAAGGCATCGAAAATAGTGGCTTAGAGAAAACTGGAAAAGAGAACTGGCACGCTAATGATGGCTTACCTTGGACGCCCCGCTGTCTTTCAATTTTAAATCACCTTCGAGTAACAGATGACGTTTTCGTTCGACGGGACAGTTCAACATCGGTCTCGTTAAATCCAGTTGGGTCAGCGATTTCTCCTTTTTCAGGATCTTCTCGATATCGTCGTCTTTGGACTCCTAAAATGGAAAATCGTGAAAATATGATGCATAAATATGGATAAACATTGTGAACGACCTAGGACGAATCTACATCTTCAAGAAAATTTTGCTGAATGTATTATTGTTTGAAATGCGTTATTCATATATTTATATACTGTGTTATTTCTAAATCTATTTAAAGAAATTTCTGTCTTTGTTTTCGCTGGAATTATCGGAACATCGAAACGCGGTTTGGAGTATTATTTTTCTTATTGTCCACTTCAATTGTGTGTTCAGTTTTTTCAGATTCGTTTCCATCAGAGAATTGCTCCCGATCTCCATCTTTTATTCTTTTCATCATTTCACCTTACTTCCAAATACTTATGGAATAATTTCTCTACTTTCAGGAGTAAATTTAATATTTCTAGAGGGGGAAACTTTGATCCTCTATAATTGAGTAAGTTATTTAAAAAAATGTCTGTCTACAGAATGATAAAATAGAGCATATTATCAAAAAAAATGGGTCACGGTGACATGGTCCACGTTCACAATAGTTAACCAGTATGAAATTTAAATAGGCTGCTGATATAGAAAAAATATAATTGAATTACAAAACTACTCACAACTATATCGTAACTCTCTATTCTGGCGATGATTCCTTTCAATCGTTCCTTATCCTGCCGATGTTTGAGACTCGAGTTCACATTGTTGACAAATTCATCAACTAGTTTTATCTGTAAGAATGAAAACCTTCAGAGACTCTGTTGGTTGATATTCAGGTGTATGATGATGTTCAATTTATTCATATATCATCATAATATCAAACTACGGTTGATATTATGATGATTAAAAATGTATTCATATAGGGTAGAACCGGGATAGATAGATAAAAAGCTTCCCTAACTCGAGACTAAGAATTAATTCTATAGTAGGAGCCGCAGTCACCCCGTACCTCATTTACCCAAGGACAGTTGTGTGATGTAGAAGCGTTTGGCTCGTGCGTGTATTTATCTCTACGACGACATTCAGAAACACGTCAGAGAATCAAAGGTTAGTATCTTGCGTTGTATAACTTTATAATTAGTAATAAATTCCGTTATATTTTTTATTACGTCAATATACTGGTTCATTGAGTCTACATCTAGGTGCAAATATATTCTTTTTTGTATAATTAATTAAAAAATAATTGCGAATCAATCCCTATCAGAAAGGATAGTTGTCCTGATTTTTTGAGATATAGGTGCCCTTGGGGGCATCTATCCTTTCATACACTGTCATTTATGATTACAGCAGAACTATGCCACGAAATTATGAAAGAAAGGGAGGATTGCGAGCTCGAGTATGTTCGTGGACCACAGAGAACCTACAGTCAGCTTTCGATGTGGATAAACCATGGGGATAAACGAAATATCCCGACAATTTGGGATTCCAGCGAGGGCATTGCGAAGACGATATGCTGCTAGAAACACACTAAAGTTGACCCTAAGTATGAGTAATTAATTGCTGTTTCTAGTTTCCAATAGATCCATTAATGTATGGTGGGGCAACTATCCATACAGGTAGGCATCTATCCTCAAAAAAAATTTTCCACGAAAAGCTAATTTTTGCAAAATCTTCATTTGATAGGTTAAAAAATAGTAATAGTAATGCAACATAGAGGGTTAAGCTAGCTACGTTATTGAAATAATTCGTATAAAATTAATATTTTTCAAATTAGGTGGTTATTTCAAAAAGTGGGACATCTATCCTGGTTTTACCCTATGTATAAGGAATCCAATAAATGAAAAAAATTTCATGAATCATGAAATTTCATATCTTCTGAACCTCCTGATAGTCGATATCACACTAATAAAAAAACATGTAGTTGATCATTGCCTACATGTTTTTTCCTTAAAAAAGAGTGTACAAGAACATGGGAGATAAAAATCACTATCCCTGTCGAACCATGACTCACAAGTTTGTGTCAGATATTTTTTCCATAATAATTGTATTTACTGAAAAGAAGTAGTCATGATTATCTTGAATAAATACAATATAGTGAAAAATTATGGACACTTGTTCCACACATTCAATAACAATGTATCAAACGATTGGGAAAGAAAGGTTTTGGCTTTCCACTTCTCCATTTTTATAAAAAAAAATGTGAGAATCTTCCAAAGAAATGAAGAAATCAATCGATTCCAAAATGAACTGTTTACAAATATGTGTTTGCGTCAGAGAAAACTGGAGAAAAGCTCGAAGCCTTCCTCAAAGACACATTTTCAAACAGTTCATTTCGAAATTGATTGTTTTTTTTATTTGAAAGAATCCCACTTTGTTTGTATGAAAATGGAGAAAAAGGAAGCCAAAACAAGTCTCTCCTGAAAATTTAACATATATCCCAAATAAATGCATGAAGTGCAGGTGGAAATATCGTCATGTGAGACATATGCTTTTGTAGGTGCTTGTGACAGGACCACAATCCCAAATATATGCCGCTGAGAGTATACAAGTGAAATCGACAAACATCAGTGCAACGTCTTCTTTTTGAAAGATTCGTCGCAAGTAACTTTCTATACATAAAAAGCTGAATAAGTTCTCCCGTGGAATTTCATACTCACCATAGTCTGCAAATTCTCTCTCTCAACATCCTCGTCGGTATTTTTGAGTATAGCTTTAAGTAGGAGGCCATATTTTGTCAGTCGTTGCATCGGCTGTACCAAAATATCCATCAGTCGTAACCTAGGAAAATATAATCAAGTCATGAAATTGGTAACGAAAAATCAATAATGAACAGAATACCAGTATATTGTTGATGAATTCCGATGAAGCGATAAAACTTGTCCTAAAGAAACAAAGAGCCTAACAGTTTTTGAACTGATTAAAACTGAAATCTGATAGAACAAGTGATATTAATAATTCAGTTGTCACGAAAAAGCGAAGGTTCAGTTTCAGGATTACAAACTCTAATTGAGCTTTAACAAAACAGATAGTATGTTTTTTTTACAAGCAATTCTCTATCAGAGAATAAATGCGTCAGGAATCATAATTGACTTGTGTGTCAACTGACTCACAAACTGGGGTTTCATCCGTTGAACTCTGTCTATTTTGTTCCACTCTATTCCCATAGCAGTTGTGAGTTCTTAATATGTTCTTAATTACGTACTGACTACGTAATTCACTACGAAAAACAACTGTGTTAGCGAAATGTAGTGACATATTTTTTAAAACAAGTTTGGAGATCAAATCGTAAGGGGTAATTTATGAAATTATTATGGATCCGAAGCAATCAAAAAAAACATTGAATTGCCAATAAATTGATGGATGTAGCGTTACTACGTGGTAGGAAATCATAATGAAGAAAAGAGAAATGAATTTTTTTATGTTTTTACCACTTTTATTTGTAACTAACGTTACTGCAGTTCCGTCCTTTAAGGACATTTTCAAACTTATACAATAAACTAACAATGTTTCATTACATTCGCCATTATATAATAGCCATGTAGGTACTAATAGAAATGGAGGTACTTGACTTGATTAAGTACCTGAATTTACAGTTCACAATGCGGATGTGCCAATTTAAAAACCGGCGAGTAAACTAAATCGATTTGATCATTTAACAGGTTGCACCCGCAATGTTTATGCTTGTGGATTTCCAAGGATTCTGAATAATGTTTGCAACCCTTCCTGGTTTTTCAATTGGCACATCCGCATTGTGAACTGCAAATACAGGTACTCAATCAAGTCAAGTACCTCTATTTCTATTAGTACCTACAGGGGTAGTATATAATGGCGAATGTAATGAATCATTGTTAGTTTATTGTATAAGTTTGAAAATTTCCTTATAGGACGAAACTGCAGTAATGTTAGTTACAAATAAAAGTGGTAAAAAACATATAAAATTTCTTTTTTCTTTACTTCATTGAATTTTCATTACTTTTTCCTGCAATATAATATATGAGACAAACAAATCACATAAGCTCTCATCAGTACTGATTATCTGTTTCTCATTTTCTTTTCAATTATCACCCCTATTATCTTTTACCCGCATCAGATCGCCTACTATATTTTCTTTCAAATAGCAAATTAAAGATTCCATTTTGGACTACTGGTATCGAAAGGCTATAATCTTCATGACTCTACTCAAACTGAATGTTTTATCTTTTTGTTTGTTTTTTCATCCGGAGATACAAACGCACTCGCTTTTTTGTTTAGTTTAATGGCTCTACTCAAACTGAATGTTTTATCTCCTTGTTTGTTTCTTTCATCCGGAGATACAAACACACTCCCTTTTCTTGTTTAGTTTCGTATATAGGTTAGCGAAAAATAATTTTTGTTACGTCCGGTTTCGGTTTATTAAACCATTTTCAAGTAAACTGATACAGATTGACAAACAAACTCTGAAATATACAATGATATGGTCAGGTATAGCAGGTATCCGCAATATGTACCTGCAGGTACCTAAAGAACATTGACCATATCATTGTATATTTAATGTTTTTTTTAATATACATTATGAGAAACTCCTCACCTGTTACACTCCTTCTGACTTTCGCACCAAGTCAAATAGGCGGTGAAAACTTCGCTGTCCAAATTTTCGCGGCAATAGTGCTGACACCTGCTCTGCTCGGCGCAATATTTGTAGTACGGCTGGAAAATGTCCTGGATGCTGTGGACCCCTTCAAGCATATTTTCCAAACAGGACGTCCTTTTGTACTTCCTCATGTCACGTACGAGAGGGAAGAGGGTGTTGCGCCAAAAAATCACGTTGGCGTCAAGGATTTCGGTGATGTTCGAGAAGAGCTTGTCAGTGTCAATCTCTTTGAGGAGGTTATGCGATTGGAGGTCTTTGAGGCACGCAAGGAAAAGCTGAAGAAGGTTGAAAAATTATGAAGCCCGTTTAAAAAGTTTTCAAAGATTGATTTAGAAGACTTGCTGATATCCTCCACATTAAACGTAACACGTATTCAAACGTATTCAAAGAGAAATTATAAGAATCACAATCAGATTTTGATTCATATTTCAAGTAATTTAATTGTTTTTTATTTCGTCATTGCTTTGATTTTACTGTATAATCGACTGGTAAGAGATCTTGATGCATCTTATTGTAGCGTAAATATATAGGACTGGTTGATGAAACTGATAAAAACTACAACAGCCTTCTCATCCCAAATCCAATGATTCCTTCTCAAACATTGTTTACAGAAAACCAACCCATACCAACCATCATCCTGCCCAATTGAATTCAGTTTTGAAATTCTCTCATACACAGATCTATCAAACTCAGATACAGCCACAATAGGAACTAGACGAACTCAATTCCGTCTTTGGCCAAAACGACTATCCCAAATCCAACGATCCAACCAACTTCAACTAACCCGTACCGTGCATCCTGAAAAGCCCGATGAACTGGCGGACCACCTGAAACCTTCTTTTTTCTTACTTTAATGCAGTTACCGACAATGTGAGCCAAATTCTGAAGAGGCACCGATATATGAACAGTATTCACAGCCAAAAATCAAATTTCCACTCTTCTATGAACACCAAGGGACACGATACGCAATGAGGCATATGGCCATGTTCCACCTCCTCTAAAACAAACATCGGAGATCTTAACAGAAGAGTCTCCAACAGAGCTTATGAACATAAGATTGGTGTCCTTGAATCGAATCCAGTCTTATACCTCTTCGAACATCAACGTGAAACAGGCCATTCAATAAGCTTCGAAAGCATATTGCTACCGAAAGAACTATTCAGGTTAGGATAATTCGCAAAGCTATTAAAATTGAAAAACGTCACAAACTACCTCAACAAACGAGATGACTCACAAAAATTACCTCATTCATGAAGATCATTACTGTCACGCCATACATCTCATAACTCTGCACACCTCATTTCTGCAAATCACACACCCGTTTCCACTACCAACTCGACCCTAGCTCCCACCACAAGCCCGCCTCTCCACTTGTCTAGGGACATAAATAACACACCAGATGATCTACAGTTTACGCTTGGGAGTAGGCAGATTGAAACCGTTGCTGAGATCAGTGACGAGGCCTGAGGGTAGGTAGATTGAGACCCAGACGTCAAGTCACAAAACCCTCAAAGCGTTGTCACTAACTGGGGGTTGGGCAGATTGAGACCGCAGTTCAGTAGCTTCTTAAAAATAGCTTTGAAGTCGAAGCCGAAACGTCATATAGAATAGCAAGAGAATAAGCTACATTCCTGCAGACTTTATTTGTATAATTTAAAATTAGACGTTCAATCTCTTTGAATATGTTTGAAGAAAGTATGTAATGTCATCAAAATGAGTGGGAAAATAAGTACCCTTTCATTTCCAAATTTAAACATGAATCATAACCTTCCTGGAATATTGGAAATCAAAGTTTTCAATATATCATTACAAAAATCAAAAATAGCTATGAGCTAAGTAGATTCAAAATATGTAAAATTTCTCGTTGAAGATCGTTTCTATACACTTAATGAACTTCGTTAAAAAGTTTCATTACATTTCTCTATCTTAGTATTTGTCGAGTACACATTGTTAATTGCGAGAATAGTAAAAATTTAACTCCTCGACTCAATTACATAATCCCTCATTAAATTTTAAAATCTTGGGGTGAATGACTGAACATTTTCGTGTCAAATAATGTAATTTCATCAATAGAAATTGACCTATTTCAGAATTATCCAATATCTTATTCAACACGTTTCATTCCTGATACATAACGAATGTACCTGTTGAATTTTTGGGAAAGAAAGTTTTTGGCTTTCTACTACTCCATCTTGATACAAAAAACAAGGATGAGGGAATCTTCCTTCCTTTCCATGGAAGATTCCCTCATCCTTTTTTTTTGTTCCAAGGAAAGGAAGGAAGATTCCCTCATCCTTGTTTTTTGTATCAAGATGGAGTAGTAGAAAGCCAAAAACTTTCTTTCCCAAAAATTAATCACTAAAAATATAACCCCTAAGATTCATACCTGTTAAATGTATTTGGACTCTTGTTTCATTTTACGAATATTCTATTGTGTTTGTAGATCTCATATTTTTTAGATTGAATATTGAAATTCTTTCCAGCAGGAAATAATTCTTTCGAGTTTTGATTAGTCCTTGTAGAAAGCATGTCAAATATAAAATATTTGTTTCGTCATTCAATTTGGATTCAATGAGGATCTATATGTGATTTCAAATTGGGGTGCAAAACTAACCAGGTTCAGTTCAATGCCACGAATACCCAGGCATCGGTTTTCTTCAAAAAGACAAATGTCTCTGAACCGGATATAACAATGTCAGGATAGACAATTCTGCTATCTGCTTCGATAAGTTTGTTGGGAGTTGAAATGGACACCAATATGTTTTGGCACGATCGTGTCGCTGGAGTTGCAAAGGTAGCTTCTCAAAAGCTTGGAACACTGGAACACTAACCAGAAAACTGTACACACCTCAGCTCAACTTCTGATGCTTCATAAAGCTCAGATCAGACCTTCTTTGGAGTATTGTTCTCATGGAGCTCCGCCCCTTAGCAGACCCTGAAGCTGCTGGTTTCCATCTCGAAAAGAGCCATCCGCCTGATTGGAGACGCGAACATCACTTGCAACCTTGATAATATGGAACATCAAGAAAAGATTGGGGATTTGTTTTCTCTTCTATAGATACTTTCACGGAAAGTATTCAAATGACTTGGCACATTTGATTCTAACAAAAGTTTCGCCAGATAGATTTAATCTCCTTCGATTCAAATCCAATGTGAATCGCTGCTTAGAGCGCCTTAGAAATTTTCATGTAGTGCTTGTGTTTTGTCTTCGAAAAAAAGTTTGGGGATCCAACATATTTCATCAGAAGTAACAAAATTTCAATATATTGAAAGAATACAATTTTTTTTATTTCACCAACACGAGTGATCAAGTTTTCAAAATTTCACCTCTTCTGGTACACAAAATGCATTCCACAATAACTAAGATATTGACCACGTTTTAAACTTCAAAATTTTATAGAATCTTCACAGAATATTCGGGATGCGACAAAAATACTCACATCTGTTACCACCTTTAAAGTTTTTATGTAAGCAACTTCCGTTTTTATGAGCTCCCACAAAGCCGTTTGTTGCTGCTGCTGTTTTTCAGTCAAATCTGAAACAAAAAAGGAAACTATGCAACGTTGTTTTGTGACAACCGAAACATTTCTCAGCTGACAGAAATTACGCACAATATTGATATATTCACATTATATAATGAGGGACCGCCGATGCGGTTTATATTTGAGTTAATGAAATGTGCAAGGCGGACTTTATTTTATATTTTTGACCACACTTTTAATTTTAAGTTGAAATTTGATATTCTTGTTTATTACTTGCTTTCTGGACTGTAATTGCTTGGTATTGAATGTGATTTCCGATTATCTACGAATGAATTAATATTGATATTAAAAATAAGCAAAAATAATTTTCAACGCAAGTAAATTCTTTTCTTTTATTATTGATAAAAGAATTTATTCTTTTGTATTTTGTTTAAAATTTTGAGTTTTTCAGTAATGTGTCAAACCATTATCACCATGAACATTTATACTGGTATATAATTCCAAAAATTCTCCTGAAAACAAAATATAATTCTGAATGTTCTCGACATATTCATTTGTTTATACTCGCCCTTTTCACACCTACGGGAAGCTCCCCAGTAGGATAATTCGAAAATCCTTTATTAATGCGCCTCTAAGAACTAAGAAGCACATTTTAGATCCCTTGGACTTACCATTACGGGGAAACAAAGATGAATGTGTGAATATTAAGAGTGACTTTCGCATTTGAAAGTATAGATTCTAAAATCTGTTCATGTATTTTGGTTTTGATTTATTGATTTTTTTGAATTGAAAGACCACGAATCTTATATGATTCATGTCTGAAATTACTTTCCTTCATTCGATAGGAAATACTAACAAAATTCCAACCTACATCAAACTGAAAAAAGTCCTTTGGAAAATGTCAATATCGGGATTTGAAATTTATTATTTCGACGGATGACATTCTCCAGAGACTCAATATTCTAAAAATGAATATTCTTTCAATGCAGGAAAGCCGAATATCTGGTATAAAGCAATCACTTTACCGGAACAGGATAAGCTGCCTCGACACGATGGATGCAACAAAGAAACCGGTGAAGTATTGTAGGTTTTTCGCAACATATATAATGATTACCCTCGCAAATCCACTTTACATTTGGCATTCCGGAGTAAAACGGCTCTTATTTTTCCAGACGAACATTCTTTACGGAGGTTTTTCTGCGATTATTTCAAGAAAATTTTATTTTCACTTCCACCCTATTTCCACAAATTACACTTTGTTTCTATATATAATTCTGTGAGAAGCGTTTTCTGTTTGTTCTTTAAACGAAAAGAAAATTTTGAATCATCAATACTTCAAGTGTAATGCGATAGGCGAAGACAAAAATTGATGGCTCTTTGTAGAGAGTTTCGAGATTGAAGGAAGACTTATCGACTGATACGGAGTTACTTTTTCCCCAAGTTGCACATACCATTATTCAAATGTGATTGATGGAAAATCCCTTCGAATCAGAGATTTATTGAAGAGATAACTTCTTATAGGAGGGTAAACGGCTCCGTTTAGTAAGGCTTTACAGTCTATGGCATCCTTTTCTCTCACGCATACATCAGCGGAAGGCAGGCACCTCCTTTCTCGTCGGACAGACGGTTAATGTTTATTGTGCGTTAAACATACTGTTGATATATACTGTATCATAAAGATCTAACCAGCAAGCACATAATATTCTTATTATTATTCATATTATGTGAAATGTGACTCAAAAATGATTATACTAATTTTGGGTATGTATATTATCAGTATCATTACTTAATCCTACAAAAGTAACAATTGGCTTATGGTAGCTACGATACGTTATGTTGTTTGTTTTTTCCGTTAACCAGATGTCGCACCCTTACGAACGACAACCCTCAGAAATCGAAACTTGTGCGAGGTAAGGACTAACGAGGTCTTACCTTTTTACGTGTGATTCCTAACACATGTACATACATAAAATAATATGAGCCTTCCGAGACGCACATGTTTTTTTTCTCTTTCACAACAATAGAAATGGAATAATGTGAAATGAAGATATTTATAGATCAATAGATTAGGTAATATAAACTTAGTAACTTCAATAGAAGATATAATTAGTAAAATATACAGTACAGACATAAGGAAGGAAGGCTCTCAACTTTAGAAAAGAAATAGATATAAAAGTTGCAAAAAATCAGATGAAAAAGTATCATTTCGAGTACTTTTTGATAAGAAAGAAAATAGTGTTGCGATACTCATCACCGAGAGGACGCTACCAACTTTTTTTCAACAGAATACCTCGTTTGATAGATATTTCAATTCTCCATCCAACACTTCTTTATTTGCAAAATTCAAATCCGCTATTTGTTATCAAAATACCTGTTCCCCAACATGAAAGTACTTATGGTGTATTATCCAAAGAATCCAGAAAACTGAATATCACACTTCAGTTCGTTTCAGTACTGAAAATCGCATCTTCGCCAGAATGTAGACCCGATCTCGTTCCCTTGACTTTTATTCCAAAAGACAGGACTGCTCGTCAAAAATAGACGACATAATTTAATTGAATGCCAGTAAATTAAGGAAAATTATTTGATAGTATAAGAATATGTTTCAAACTGAGCATACTCATATCTTTTTAGAGGAGTTGCAGAACCACATTTCATAAATAATAAGATTACAGTAATGAATTCAGAATCTCGTGCGCGTGTTTTTGAGTGGTGTTAGCGCTTCAGTGAGGGCGGAGAGAGCAATGAAGATGACCAGCGCCCAGGTCTTCGTGCCAGTGTTTTAACTTCAGAAACAGTAACCAAAATCAACCAAATTGTGTGTGCAGATCGTCGAATGGGCATCCGAACGATTGCCGAGACTGTAAACGCCGATAAACGGTTAGAAAAATTTTACACGAGGTACAACTCGTAGATTTTGGACCAGGACAATGCACCTGCCAATAACGCGCTATCTGTGAAGCGGTATTTGGCCAATAAACGCACTCCAGTGCTCGAACACGCGCCGTACTCGCCAGATTTGGCACCGTGCGACTTTTTTTGTTTTTGAAGATAAAATCTGCTTTGGAAGGGACCGGATTTGAGTCGATGGAAGCGGTAAAGCAACTGAAGGCCCTCACCAAAGAAGACATCCAGCACTGCTTCAGCAGCAATGAAAAAAACGTATGGAAAGTTGTGTGGAAAGGGAAGGGGAGTATATTGTAGGATAATATTCGAATGTAGAATGATTTATAATATAACCCTTTTTCATAACCAGTCTCGTTATTTTATAGCCGGACCTTTAGATTAAACGGAGTTTTTGAGCTGAATTTTCTGTATAAAATCAACATTGGAACAAAATGTTACCAACTCCCGCCAAACGATCATCTCCCACTAAAACCAATGAAGCGGAGAGAGGGAAGAGGGGATAGGTGAAAGCACTCGAATGACCTATAAATAGTCGGATCTCTTAGGAATAAGTCCAGTTATCACCCTTAGACGATTGTAGATACTAACAATCGAAACGTTGTGACGTAACTTGGTTTCATTTTTTTGTTGATAATATTTTTCAATTTTCAGCTTTTATTGATATTTCAAATTTTTATTTTTTTTGGTTGTTGCTTGTATGTATGATAGTCCAATTCTGGTTCATTCCAATTCTGTTTAAAAAAATCTGTTTAAAATATGTTTTTCCATTAACCAGCTACACACCCCTACGAAAGACAACCCTCAGAAGTCGAAACTTGTGCGAGCCGCCAAGGATTAACGAGGACTTATCTTTTAACGTGTGATTCCTAACACGGGTTGGACGATAGGACGTGAAAATCGATCGTTCAGACTAGGGCTTGAAGCACCGACCAACACGGTAGTCAATTCGAGTGAGTGAACAAAGCACCCACGTCGAACTGCCTGGCCAACGACCGACCAATTGCTTTTCATTTTCTTGAAAAACAATCAACACTTTCTGGTCAAACTGAAAATTGTTTGTGAAAAATTGTTAAAGTACATTCATGAAAATTAAAAATATTCCTTTGTCTACATTCATCCAGTACAAGATATTTGACACTGTTTTTCTCATGGGAAATTTAAAGATTTGGGATTCCAATCTTCAAATTTTCAATTAGTTGATAAATAGGAACACCCAACTGATTGCATAAAAAATATTTCAAGAATATCTTCAAAGAACAAAAATTTTTCCTGTTTTGACCCACGATTATTTTATCGTGAGTATTGATGCTTAATGCACACAAGAATTACAATTACATCTGGCTAGATGTACTGTAAACAAGAGAAGATTCAATTCTTACTGTACTCTTACAAGGTTTGAGACGTAATGAATTAATTTTACAAAATGCAATATTTCACATCGGTAGTTAGAGAAGGGGTCAGATTCGCCATTGTAGGGATAAACAGAGGTTTTGGAATAACATATGCAGGAAAGGTCATAATTCCCAAGATACAAGGAACAATTGAGGAATTCAAAAATCTACCTACTTGTATCTTA